AAAACAAGGTCAACTTAGGCTTAGGACTAGAAACATGTATTACGATCGATGATGAGCATGATCATACTATGATGGTGAGACTGCATACGCACTGCCTCTGCTTACCCCTTCGGCTGATTTGCCATCACTCCCCCACATATTCTCTGCTCCAGCAAGCCTGAACCATCTCCAGTGGCCCTAACCGGCCATTCTACCTCCCTTTCAGGCCTTAGCACATGCTCTTTCTCTGCCTCTTCCCAGCCTCCACCCTGGCCAGTTCCCACTCATCCTTCAGGTGCCAGCTTAGCTGTCCCTTCCTGTAGTTACCAGACTGAGTTAGCTGCCTCTCTCCTGCTCCACAGCACCTGGTACTCCCCTGGCACAGTGTTTGTCCCACTGTATTGAAATTGTTTTACATGTCAGTGGATTTAAGTTCCATAAGGACATAAACAATATCTTCTCTTGTATCCTCACTGTCTAGTACTGGACAGTTAGGTGTTCGGTAAATATAGTATGTGCATAATGAATAAATCAGGAGTGCTTTCACTTCTAGGTTCTTTTCTGATACAACAACCTTATGATATAAGCAGCCCAGGCCTTGCTGTGACCTCATTTTGTATATGAAGACGCTGATACTCAGTGAAGCTAAGCAGCTTGCCGAAGCTCATGCAGACAGCCAGGACTTAAATTGATGTCTCTCAGATTTGAATGTTCAATGCATTTTTTTGTTTTTACGTTTTTCCTTTTTAAAAATAGCATTCAAAAAGACAAAAGTTAGAATAGAATATTTTGTTTTCAGGATTATAAAAAAAAATCTTCAAGGCACCGATATCCCTGAGACATTTTTTTCATCAAATATTAAATTTCAATCTAGATATGATCTTTAAAAATGATAATCAAATTCTAAATTCCAATGTGCACTGGAGAAAAAATATTATGTATTTTATTGGAAAATAAACTGTGACAATAATAGTGTAAGAAGTAATACATTTTATTGTACAATTTGGAGAATACTGAAAAAATATAAGGGAGAAAATAACAATCGCCCCAGCATGCAGGGAAAACTACTACAGATTAGAAATGGCCTGGCCTTGGAAGGGCAGCACGGAGTTTGAAACCACTAACGAGAAGTTTGGCATTTGGTAGATAATTCAGCTTCTGAGCCTTGGTTTTCTCACTTGAAATATGGTGAAATATTTACTTTTTAGGATCATTATAAGAATTAGCGATAATGTCTATAAAAGCCTGGCACATAGTAGGCACTCTTTCAAATTAGAGTAGTATTAATATGTTTGTGTGTTTTTTTAACTAGACATTTTTTATTGGTTGATTGATTTTGAGAGAGAGAAACATTGATGTGTTGTTCCACCTATTTGTGCATTCATTGGTCGATTCTTGCATATGCCCTGACCAGGGATCAAACCCACAGCCTTGGCATACTGGGACGATGCTCTAACCAACTGAGCTACCCGACCAGAGCTGCGTATTTCTATATAGTTTTTCTTATCTGTTGTGTGTACATACACATGTTTTGGTTTGTTTGGGTTTTTTTTTTTAAGCACATTTATAGTAAGTATATCATTGAGTCCTCACAAGGTTGCTGGAGAAGGTGGGTATTATTTTCAAACCACTCTGTAGATGAAAAAACTGAGACCTCTAAGAAGCAAAATAATTTGGTCTTGGTGCTATGTCTGATACTGTCTGCACCAGGACTCTCAGTTTGGTCCCCTGACGCCAAGCCCAAGTGCCTCCCCTATCAGCAGTGTGCTTCCTTTCCAGCTCTGCCTCCACCAACACACAAGTGGTGGACCTGGAACCCTGCCCAAGACAAAGGCAAGGGGAGGAAGCAGTGGAAGCGCTGGGAGCCTCCACACCAGCTGGATTCAGTCTGAAAACAGAAAAGAAGTGCCCACTTCCTTCTCTGAAGTAATAGACATATTGCCCAATCCTGTAGCATGGACCAGGCTTCTTCCTAGAAAGTTAAAAACTGTTTGAGTCACAGTGTTCTTTCTGAGAGGAAACTTATCAGGGAATTCATAAAACTGAAAAGCTTTACTCAGTTGTCTCCAGGGCAAAGATGTGCCCAAATTTCTTTCAGTATGTATAGCACTCAGTACTTAAAGGGCCTGGGTGACATGCACTGTACCTGACACCTCGTATGTGCATCATTTTATACCATTTTCACTTCAGTGCATGTTTTCTGATGGCTGATTTATGTGTGACTGATAGGAGGTACACAGAAGAACAGGTGGCACTTGTGGTCTTTAGGAACACTAGGGAGATCTCAAGGCCACATAAAGTCAGAGCGCTGATTCAGTTTCTGGCAGGGTGTTTGGGAGCAGAGGATGGAGCACTGACCTCTAGTTCTGTGCAGTGATAGCATCTATTTGCATGGTGCCTACCAGTGTTTGCACAAATCTTAACTTGGAGGGAAGGAGACGTTTGAGATGGTTTCAATGGCCGAGAAGACTTCTTAGGCCAAGGGAAGGAGGTGAGCCAAAGACCCGCTCGACTACGGAACCTTGCCCTCTAAAGACTCTTATCAAATGATTGCATGCATAATAAATTAATGCCCCACAGTCCCTGCAAGTGGACTGTCTGTGATAAAATAGAGCATGTGGACAGGCTCCGGGGAAGAAACTACCAACCCTTTGGTAAGATTATGACATCTCTCCCTTCTCCCTCCCTCAGTGTAAACAGGGAAGTTAGGCATGTTTTTTCACTTTACTGTCTTCCTGCATTTTTTTTCTTCCTAGTTTCAAAAACAACTCTCCTTCAACAAGTTGTGTTTCCAAGGAAAGTCTTAACCGTTTGTCCCTTCTGGCGTACCCTCTTCCAATAAAATCCATGCAGAATAGACCAGGTACTCTATCTTTTTGTGTGTGAAACCATAAAATCTAATACTGAGTGTGCAGCAGTGCTCAGAGGTATGCTGCTTCCACAAGAGGCTCCGTCAGCCCTACTGTGGTAAACACCAAGTATAAATTGCGGCTAACAGGGTTTTCTAGCTAGAGTTGTAAGTATTTCTGAGCATCCCCTGTGAATTATAAAGCCGCCAGCCCCCTTGCCGCTCCTGCACTGGCTGCCTGTTGGCTGTTTTTCTTGTCCTTAGACCTTCCATCAGAGTGTGGGCAGGGGGTGGAGAAAGAGAAGTGAATATAAAATCTGTCCACTCTGCACGTGGCTTGCAGTGCTGGCAAGAAAATAGATGGGGACAAGGGTTGACACTGAATTGCACACAGAGGCAGAGCCAAAGGGACAATGGTCCCTCCTCAGCCTGCTGTCCAAATGGTCGGTGCCCCTCACCGCCCCCCAAGCTCCTGAAAATGAGTGACCCTGTGTTTTATTACTGTAGCATTTCTCGCTATGCTGAGCAGCTTTTTTTCTTTTAATATGCCTTGAAGAGGGTAGATACTGGAGTGCTGATATTTTCTTTTAATTTTTTGAATTCATAGTGTTGCACAAGGTATATCTTGTGCTTGAAGCTGTTGGCTAGAGTAATATTTTAAGATTCTCTGTGGATTCCTTTCATCCATGTTTTTATCTGTTCTGTAAAGTATAATTGAAAATCTGCTGTCATTAGATCCTAAAAATGGAAGGAAGAATGCACCCAAATTGAGCTGTCAGACACTTGGCTGCCTAACCACGCTTTCTGGATTGTGGTGTTGGAAGGGGCCGTCATTCTGTGTGCTTTCTCTTAATGGCTGTCGTGTGCTTGCTCCCGAGAACAGCAGAGAAGCCGTGCATCGACTCTAATCAATCTTTCTGAGCAGACTTGCCATTTCTCTGATCGTGTTCAGCTGGGGTCCTCTGAGAAGAGAGTGGGCCTTTTCCCTCAGTGGGCAAAGAGCCAGCTTCCATTTCAAAATCTCTCAAAAAAAAATTCAACAACCCAGAGCCTGTGTTTATGGAAGGTTGGTCTACAAGTCTTTCACACTGCATGCCCCATCAGCACTTCAGTGCCTCTATTTTAGAAGGATGTAAAGGTTTAATCACCCTGGTGGGGATTTAGACCCAGAAACTTCAGAGAAATCTTATTATTTCTAACTGCAGGCAAAGAGTATTAAGGCTCCACTCTGGATCAGGGGCATGACATGTTCTATAAGTAATTTATCTTTACCAGGGGAAGGCCCTACTAGAGTGTCTTAGACACAATACAGTGATTGGTACTGGCTCGCTATTCCTCCTTTTCTCTTTCCCTTTCTCAATCTCCTGCTTATTCTTATTCTGTCCCTACTTTTTTCTGCCCAACCTGTTCAGTGTTCGAATATCTGCCTCCCAAATCTTCCCTTTAATAAGGGGTACCAGGGGCTTGCCCGTGAGAGAAAATAATGCCTTTGTGATGAATGACCACATCCAGAAGCCTGGTGTAGACCTATCAGCCGCAGACTTCTGAATAAACCCTACCTGCATCCTCTCAAATAAGGAACAGAGGAGGGAAGAGTATGCCGTGGCTCCAAAGGCACTGTCTGTGCCCTTAGACAGGAAGTAATCTAACCCCCAAGCCCATCCCCTGCTCTATCGTACCTTCCCCGAGGCAATCTCCACTGAAGACCTTTTGAATCCCTGTGCCCATCCTCACAGGAATGTTACTAACCATGATTTCATTTGCATGGACCCTCGCCCAACCTCACCCTCCTTCCTGTCTTTCTCCGACTGAAGCTGAAGGATATTACAAGTGGGATTCTGCTTATGGATTCGTTGTTCTGTTTGGGGACTATAGTTTGATTGGTGGCAGATCTAATCCATGTGCTAATGAACTTGGTGAAAGCAGGCTTCTGCTGTCCTTTTTTAATCTAGCCTGTCTGTCTGAGTTTCTTTCCGTGGTTAATGATCTCCTATGATGCTTTCGCCTTTTGTTTTGCCCCCTGGGTCAAAACAAATCAATAGTCCTCACAGATGTTTAAAAACCATCAGTGTAAAGCTCCTGGGTCTCCCCCCACCCCTTTTTTTCCTTCTGGGTAAACTTACAGCTTGATCAGCACAGTGATATCTCCCTTCCATCTCCTCTTTCCTCCCAGAGATGGGCAGCAGTGAGCCCCTTCCTATTGCAGAAGGTGACACGAGGAAGAAGAAGAAACGGAAGGCCCGGGCTGCTGACTTTTTGCCCCGAAAGTTTGAAGGTTGGTGACACTACTCTCTTAGATCAGGCTGTGGCTCTCCAGTCATGGGAGGAGCCACCTGAAGCCTCTGGGTCTAGATCACGGGATCTGTGTCATCGTAGAGTCAGCTCACGGTTATGTGCGTGATAGGGATGCAAGCATCTGCACAAAGGAGTGACAGAGCAGAGATGGGAAAAGCCCCAACTGGTCAGAGCTGTACACAGAGTAAGATGGTCTGGTGTGTTCCAGCCCTTTCAGATGTGATCTTTCCTTCAGCTATTCCTGGAAGGGTTGCTGAGACGTAGAACAAGCATGTGAGAGGAAGAGAGGGCCAGGGCAGCAAATGAAACTGCAATCCTCTGTACACAAAGAACTTGACTCCGAGAGATTGCAACTACTTGTGCTGTATGAGTTCGACACTGTTTTAAGAGTGAACACTGTGTTCAGGGGACACAGCATTGGTCATCAAACATTTTGAGCATGGTGTGAGGCACCAGGCGTGGCGCCAGTCCTGTTCTCACCAGGCATGTGATGGGGTGAAGTGGGTCATCGGTCACTTCTGCCAAGTACTGAAAGGATCAGTAGCACTCCTAGGAGCGACCTGCCCCTCCATCCATTGTGTTTGTTTTGTGAAACTTGAAAGCTTCCTCTCATGGTCCCTCTTTCCAACATTGCAGATACACTAATGAATTAACTGTCTTGTAGAGCAGTTCTAGTCACAAGCCCTTTATACGCGCCAGGAATATTGTACTTCCAACCAACAGTCCATTCTGATGTGTGTCAAAGGCTAATGCTAAAGTGCCCATCGCAAGTAAAGCATGTTTTTTTAAATACTTACAAACAAAAATATGTATTCTTTTGTTTCTTTTTGAAAAAATTTTATTGAATTTATTCAGCTAACATTGGTTAATAAAATTGTATAGGTTTCAACTGTACGATTCTGTAGTATATTATCTGTATGCCCTATTGTGTGTTCACATCCAAGGTGAAATCTCTTTCTGTTACCATTTGTTCCCCTTTACCCTCTTCTACCTCCGCCCACCCCACAATCCCTCTGATAATCACCACAGTTGTCTGTGTCTGTGAGGATTTGGGTTGTTGTTTTGTTTTGTTTTTTTTGCTTAATCGCTTCACCTTTTTAGCCCAGCCTCCTAACCCTCTCCCCTGTGACAGCTATCATTCTGTTTTCTGTGTCTATGAGTCTATTTCTATTTTGTTTTTCATTTTGTTCATAAGATTGCACATATTAGTGAAATCATACAATATTTGACTTTCTCTGACTGGCTGATTTCACTTAGCATAATACTCTCCAGGTCCATCCATGCTGTTGCAAAGTGTAGGGTTTCCTTCTTTTTCACAGCTGAGTAGTATTCCGTTGTGTAGATGTACCAAACTTTTTTATCCACTCATCTACTGATGGGTACTTGGGCTGCTTCCATAACTTGGCCATTATGAATAACACTGCAGAGAACACAGGGGTGCAACAGTGTGTATTCTTTTTTTTTTTTTTTATCTTTAGAGGGGAAGAGAAGGAGAGAGCGAGAGAAACATCAATGTATGGTTGCCCTTCATGCGTCCCCTGCTGGGAATTGGCCTGCAGGGAACTGGCCTGCAACCCAGGAATGTGCCCTGACTGGGAATCGAACCACGATTGTCTGGTTCACAGGCCCGTGCTCAATCCACTGAGCTACACCAGCCAGGGCAACAGTGTGTATTCTTAAACAGCTGCCAAGACCAAACCATGATGAAACCAAGAACGTACTTAGTGTGGGGTTTTGTCTGTTTGTCTTTAACTCACACAGTAGATATGTGTATATGGATGGGGTGGAGGGGATAAGGAGAGCAGGCATGGACAAAAGTCCCGAGGTTTTTAAAACAGCTTCCAAATCAACAGGTCTTACTCTTTCAATGAAGAGCAATGATAAGAGTATTTCCTGTTATTCAGGGGTAGCTTGTGCAATTATAGGGCTTCTCATGACTCAGAGTGATAAAATCTAATTTCATGATTAAAAAATATTCTGCTCAGTCTGTGGGTGTAAGTGCTAGGCTGCCTCAGGGGGGAAAGCTGAGGAATGGAGGCCACGGGAGAAGGAGGTCAGCTCAGCAGAGGCCGTGGGGAAGCTGCGGCTGCCTTTCACGGGGCTCGGTGAGCTTGTGCTATTCGTGAGCTTGCACAGGTCACCTGACAGTTGTTTCAACCCAGGCCTATCACTCCGTTAGGACCACTCTGACTCAGCACCCTAAAAACCTCGAGGCATCCGTCTACAGTTCTGTCTGTCTCCTGTTTCCTGTGGGTGGCTCCTGGAAACTTCTCAAAAACAACCAATGAGTTTCTTTGTGTGCGGTATAAAATAAAACAGTACTGTATTCCTCTTTGTGTCACCAGTGCCTAGCACAGATCTGGGCACATAGGCACTCAGCAAATGAGTAAATGGATGCATGGTGTCCCTTCAAATTGCACCCCTCCTATAGGGATCCCCCAGATTCCCTGGATAGATGCATATAACCTTTCCCTTCTCTGGCCCCTTTTTACTGTCTTGTCTCTCTGTGATGGTATTTCCCACCGTCTGGTTTACTTTGGGGTCACTTGTGTATACATATGCCTTCCCCATCAAAGGGCAGGGACTATATTTTATTCTTTCCTCTATTCCTATTATGAGTCTAATGTGCTATCTGACACATAGTAGGTGCTCAGGAAGTAGGTGTGCCAAATCGAAACCCGTTCACTGACCTCACTTCTAAAACGGGGAACAAGATGCCTTCAGTGTGGCCTAGTTGTTGAGAAACTGAGTTCTGAGGCAGTGGGAGAGCTCATGGTCGTCCTCGTCACCGTGCTGTGAAGCCATTGTGTGCCTCGTTGTCAGGCCAAGGAAGCCGAGCGGCAGAAGCTCTTCTTCCCGTCCTAACTTGCAGAGGGTAACTCATCTTGTTAATCCCCTCACCTATTTCATCTCCAGATACGTACAGGCTGACCTCTGAATTGCTTGGAGAAGGAGCCTATGCCAAAGTTCAAGGTGCTGTGAACCTGCAGAATGGCAAAGAGTATGCTGTCAAAGTGAGTATCTCATCTGGGTGCCAGGCTTTACTTTACAAACAGTCCTTCCTAGACCAAATAAATGTCGTATTCCCCAACACGGTGGCTCAGTAAGAATCCAGGTTCCAAAGTAGTATCTGCTGGATTCAGATGTTGATTTCTCTGCTTGCTGTGTAACATTAGGAAGGTTACTTAACCTTTTGTCCATCAGTTTCCTCATCTGTAAAACAGACGTAATCACAGAACCTACGTAATATTGCTGCGAGGATTAAATAAGTAAATATGTGTGAAGTGCTTTAGAGCAGTACCTAGCTCAGAGTAAGCTGCTTCTTATTAAACTGGCAGATGAAGTTAGCTTCGGGGAGTAGACAGACAGATTTGGAATTAGATGATCTACATGAATTTCTGTTTTCATGAACTGCTATTTGATTTTGGGGAAGTCACTGAACCTCCTTGAACCTCAGTTGCCAGATCTCTAAACTGAAGATAATAATGCCTGCCCTTCCTGTCTCATGGATTGGTTATAAAGATGAAAATAAAAATAAACTGGTATTAGTAGGAAGATTTTGCACATTAAAAAATGCTGTGAAGTGACGTATCAGGATAATGAGGGCGGAGCACTCAGCTGCAGGGCAGGAGAGGTGGCTTCTAGCCATGTGACCTTGGAGTGGCTCACTTCTCCCCTCCGTGCTTCCATGTACCGAAGCCCGTGGAAGAAGGGGTGGATCTAGAGCAGTGGTTCCCCATGTGTGGTCCCTACCCCAGGGCCTTTCTATTTTCACCAAGTTTACAAGTGATTCTCTTATCCACCAAAGTTTGAGAAACACTGATCTAGCAACAAGGTCTTATTACACCCAAGGGGGCAATTCAAACTTATTTCAAATCATCCACCTGAGCCACTGGGTCCAATCACTGCCTGGGCAAACTCAGCCAAACTGACCCCTGAAAGAGGTGGTGTGTTTTGTTTTTTTTTTAACCAATCAGCCATAGTCCCAGCTGTGGCTTTATAAAGTAGAACACTTCTGCTAAGCCATGTTCCTTGTTGCCTGGAGTATTGCGGTATATGGTAACAAAAGCACTACCTCATTCCTTTTTGGAAACCAATCAGTATAAATTACAAGTAATTTTTTTTAAGTATGCCCTAAATGTGGTGAAAACTACAAATGTCCATTGACTTTCAAAGGTCCGACTACATTTATGGATGATAGACCTGTTTCTTCAGAGTTGGATCACAAGAGGAAAACCAGGCCCTTCCTCCATGTCCCCTGGTGTCTGTGGGCAAAGATGGACCCAGGCTTGGCAATTCTTGGATTTCAGCAGTTCTGCCGTGTCTTATGTTTCTCCTGCTCTTTGAAAGTTCCCTTGAGATGGGCTGCTTCTCCCCGCATGGCTCCACAATACTCAGTCTTATTTGGGCTTTCCCTGCCAGCATCCAGCTGATAAATGCTAGAGTCTCAGGGTGGGAATGGAATTTCAAGATAACCTAGTCCTGAATTTCCTCTGTAACTCCTCAAATATTTGGACCATGTTCCACTCCCCCATTACCTCCTCAGAGAAAATGATGCCATTGCTGGATAGCTTGCCTGCTAGGCAGTGCTTCCTGACTTTGACCTGGAATGTTTGGTGAATGGACAAATTGCATAGCTTCTGTGCCCCAGCAGTGCACCTCTTTGTGCAGAAAGTGGGTCCAGAGGTATACTAACAGACATAGACTTATTTAGAAAATTACATTAGTCATGAATGTTTGTGCTGCAACATACTGGAGAAGTTTGAGGTACTCTACCCAGCATGCATGGGACGAAGGAACAGGATGTCATCATCTGCTGCCCACTCATCCCATGGGGCTGTAATGCAGAGCCAGCTCTGCAGAACACTTGCCCACAGACTCTACTTAACACAGTTGGAGCTCTGGATGGGTCCGTAGAGACGTTCAGAGTCAGCCAGCCCCTGTGTAAACCACCTGCTCATCTGCTGGCTCACCCATTCCTTTAGTCAGTACTTGCCAAGCATCTCCAAATAGGGGCAGCAGCACACAGTATCATAGGAGAAACCCACTGTGTCCCAGGAGAGACAGGCCTGTAGGTTCTCTGAGAGAAGCTGTATAAAATAAACACAGGTGCAGGATAGCAAGGGCTTCTGTGGCAGCTCTGGGCATGAATTCCTGCCCTGGCACCGATCAGAGCTGTGGGCACAATGCTTTACCTCTTCCTATCTTTGGGGGTTGTGTTGTGAGGGTTAAGAGATTATGTACTTGAATGACCTAACGCAGTGCCTGCCAAAGAGTAAATTCTCAGAACTGCAGAGGTGGCATCTGCGCTGGGCCCCGGAGCTAGTTCCTGTCCACAGTGCCCTTCATGCCCCTTGCTCTTTCTCCAGCACTAGGAGATCCCTCAGTAGAGTTTGTAAATTCTTACCCGAAGAGCAGAAAGAGGGGCCCTTGGAGTAAGAGCTGGGTAGAGAGAGCTCTCTGTTTTGCTGCTGCCTCAGTCTCCCCTAGGCAGCTTGGAACCGCGCTCAGAGGCATCCACGGTGTTGTGCTTGGCCAGAGTCAAATAGGCCCAGCCAGGCTGGGAAGCTCTCTGGCCAGACTGCTGCTTTGCTGACAGAGCCACAATGCCTGTGTCACCAAGCCCTACTCCAGATGTGTGCTTAAAACTGATCTGGGCCAAATTTGGTATTCTGTTCTGCCATAGGGCTCCTGTGGAGGGGTGTTTTGAGGTCAGGTGGGTGTATTTGACAGATGTTATTCTTCCCACAGATCATCGAAAAACAAGCTGGGCATAGTCGGAGTAGGGTATTTCGAGAGGTGGAGACACTCTATCAGTGCCAAGGAAATAAGTGAGTATAGGGTTACTTGCTCCTTCTCTGGGGGGACACGTGGCTGCAGAAAAGGAGGTTATTACCATCTCTTGCCCCCAACTCTCACTCCTTCCTCCACAACTGCTTGTAACTTTCCATCTTTCAATGCTTTAAAAAAAGAGAGGAGAAATAACAGCAGCCATCTCCTGTTTAAGCTGATACACTATAAATATCAGCAATTCAGGTAAATTAGAAGAGTGAGAAACCTGAATGAGTACCTGGTGCACAAATGGGGTTTTATGTCTTTCAAGTGCCTGTTGAAACTAGGCTGAGTGTTTCCTGTTGGAAACATTTAGGAACCCGCTTTGACTATATATAGATCAGGGCGACGAGAACTATCAGGAATACATGCTGCCGTTTTCTGTTTTTGGGATACTCACATATGTGCAGGGTTCCTGGGACCTGGCCTTACCCTCTGTGGTTGATAACTGGGCCAAGGTGCTCTCTAGCTCCGTCTTAGTCTGCTCACCACCAGCTCCAAATGAGTGGCTCTCCCACTGTGGCCTTAAATCAGGGTCACCTCCAAGACTCCGCTTCCCCCTCTCTTTCCTTCCCTGGCAGGGTCAGCAGGGAGCCAGTGGCCCGGTATTGATGGCTTTGTCATTAAGCTTGGAGGATGGGGGCTGCTGTTGATTTAACTCCAGGCACTGCCTCTACAATATTCTTTCAAATTAGGCCATTTTGGCCATCTTATTTGGACGCCTTCACACTAGTAAAAGCCTAGTGTCTCCCAAAGTGGTCAGCATTTTTTTATGAGGAACAGATTTTTATTTTCAGCCTGCAGCTTCTGAGTTCAGCATTAGAGACTCTACTTGGTTTATTTCGTTCTTTAAAAGAAAAAAAGCCCCCAACACCTCCAATATCCAGGCTGGTGGCTTCCCTACTGAGTTACAAGACGACCTTGTTGGCAGAGCACGGTAATGCTCAGGCAGACAGAGAGTGCTCACCGGGGAAGGCCACAAGTGCTATGGTGGCCGGGAACACGGCCGTTTCATTAAGCAGCGCTTAGCAGTTAGGGTCTAGCGGTGCCCACGTTAGGCCCCAAGTCTATTTGACAGATGTTTCCATTTTCTCCAGGCAATGTAAATACTGCCCCGTGATTTATGGGCAAGAGGGAGGGCAAGTAATTATTTGCTGCTTGCCTCCAGGACACACACCTACTATTCAGCGTTATTAGCCGCAATTGCTTCCAGTCGGCTGCAGATTTTATTCAGTTTAATGTGACCGGGACTTTTTTATAACTCTACCTAGTGGGTTTTAGGGTTGGGGTTTGACAGCACAGACTTGGCGAAAACACCAGAGACTAAACATTATGGAAAGATAAGGTGACCTGAATCTTGCTAACACCATTGGCTACTTCTCAAACGTGGGTCTTTAATAAGCATTCTGATTTCAAGTTGATTTCTGCCCTGTTCCAGGCTGTTGTATATTTTTTACTGTATATTTGTAAATGGGTTTTAATATATAATACCATTTCTCCTTTTTTTTTTTTTTTTTTTTGCTTTTCTTCCTGTTTTTCCCTATTTAAGGAACATTTTGGAGCTGATTGAGTTCTTTGAAGATGACACAAGGTTTTACTTGGTCTTTGAGAAATTACAAGGAGGTACTTAACTGTTGAGTATGTGTTTGGACTTCTGATTAAGATGCAGGGTAGTGATCATTCATCATGAATCCCAGAGACGTCTAAAACGAGTCAAGCTAATAAAAAGGATGAAGGACTTAAAACTGCCCTTGATTTGGGAGAAGGGAGGCCGGAGGGAAGGATGATAATTAGCATTTTGCAGAGCTTAGAATGTCACCTGTGTGGGCATTCTGTGAATGCCTTCTCATTGTAATAGGGCTCATGTATATATACATGCAGTCACCAATTTATCAATCCAGGTTTTGACATGTTCTCTGTTTAACTGAATTAATTGTGGGTGGAAGCTCTTCCATACATTGTGAAGTCCAGAAAGGCTCGCCAAGGGAGAGGAGGGTCCTATTGTTTAGAACACAGACCCAGGACAGAGAGAGGCCTGAGAATGTGCCGTCCTTCACAGAGAAAGTTGCCATTTCTGACTGTCACCACTACTGCCATCACCCACGCACATAATTGCTGGGATGTATGTTGAACTTGCTTTTCTGACAAAGAGAGGAGATAGAGAAGCCCTTGTCCTCCCCGTCACTCACCAAGCCCCAGGACACATTTGCATGGTAAACATTAGGGAGGGTGTCTGGAGCTGAGTAGAGGGCTACGTGGAGAGGCTTGTGGTTAAGAGACAGTGCTTTAGAAACCAGCAAGGCCAAGTTTAAGTCTAGCACCATCACTTGCTAGCTGTGTGACCTTGAGCAAGTCACTTATCTTTTCCAAACATATTCTCTCATATATAAAATAGGAATAATGAGAGTACCCGCCTCCTTGGGATGCTGTTAGGATAAATGATGGAATTCATGTGAAATGTTTAGCACAGTACCTGGTAGACACAAAGGGTTCAATAATTGTTAGTGGTTAATATTATTTAAACAATTGGGTGTGGTGGGGGCTAGCTGAGAAGTACATAGAATGTTGCATTCCACCTTCCTTTTTAACAAATTTGGAAACAAGAGACTCACTACTGTAAAGCAAACCTGAGCCCTAACTGGGAGCTGGTCTCGAAATGTTTCCTAGCGTGTTGGGATCCCTTGCTTGTTTAACCTGGCAAGTGAAAGATCTTTCATCTCCTGTGCATGCCAAAAGCCAGAGATAACAGAGTAAACATGTACCATTTGTAGGTCACAGGGATGACACCTTCAGTCCAGAAATACAGGCTTCCAGTAGTGAGCATAGATCACATAGAGCCAAGCCATATGTTCATGCCGTTGCCTGCCCTGCCCCACCCAGCAACGCTGAAGCTGTGAGTTACATGTTTGAGATGCTAGATGCAGCTGAAAGCATATCAGTCAGAGTACAGCTCTGCTAAGGTCAGACCCAGTAGGTGAAGAGAGTGTGGTTGGCTCAGGGCAACCCATCCCCCAGCGTCCAGGCCACAGATCCTCCTGTGGGAAGGTCTGCGCAGGTTCTGAGTCCAGCCTTACTGGGCTTGAATCCCAATTCCACCTCTTACTGGTGTACGATCTTGAGCAAGTTGCTTAATCATTCTAGGTTCCGGGTTTCCCATCTATAAAATGTATTTGTACATTTTGTAAAATTGCTGTGAAGCTAGCCTAGATAATCTATTTAAAAAGTATTACACAGTGCTTGGCACACAGTAACTACTCAGTGAATGTTAGCCAATAAAATTTACTTGGTTTTTTGGGAAATTGCAAGGAGATACTTACTGTTGAGTATATGTTGGACTTCTGATGATCATCTATCATGAATCCCAGAGACTTCTCAAAGAAGTTGCCAACAAAATAATAATAATAATAATAATAATAATAATAATAATAATAATAAAGTTCAAGGAGGAGCAGTTTTTTCTCTTGTTCTAGACCTTTACTATCCAGTGAAGATGTGGCATTTCTGTTTGTAGACTGTGCTCTTGTTTGGATCTGAGATCAGATGCAAGGGAGGAAAAGTTTCTATACAGAGGCTCCCCAACCCCAGATCAATTCACTTTTAGTGCTTTTTGATTCCAGAAGCCAAGTGGCATTTATATCTTTTGGTTATTTAAATAGTTGTTCTGTACTCATCATAGACAGGTACAGAAGATAGCAGTTCAGTTCTGCTCAGTACAGTTTTGTGCTGGTACCTCCTCTGTGCCAGGAACCACACTTGGTGCTGGACGTTCAGTAATGAATAAGCCTATGTTCCCACCCCAAACTTGTGGAAACTTGGCCTCTGAGAAGTTATACTTAGTAGAGCCTGAAGAAACATGCTCCTGTGTCCCCTCTGCTCCTCAGGCTCCATCCTGGCCCACATTCAGAAGCGGAAACACTTCAATGAACGAGAAGCCAGCCGAGTGGTACAGGATGTTGCTGCTGCCCTTGACTTCCTACACACCAAAGGTGAGCTGGGAAACCAGGGTGGCTCCCAGACTTCTGATGTGGGTGGTGGATAGATGTGGAGCTATTAAGAATTGATAAGAATTACAGAAGAAAGGTTGGGGAAGAAAATACTTTTCATCTTTGAACAAGGTATATGTGGGTGTGTGGATCTGAATGATTTTCTTTTCCTAATGAAGATGCAAAACATGCATCATACAACCATTCTAGTGTAAGCATGTGGGCGTTATCCTTTCTAGTCTTAAAATACATCACGTATAGCCCTCACTAGTGTGGCTCTATTGGGCGTCATTCTGCAAAACAAAAGGCCAGCCACTGGTTGAATGCCCAGGCTGGGCACATGCCTGGGTTGTGGGTTTGGTCCCCAGTCAGGACTCATACGAGAGGCAATCAATCAATGTTTCTCTCCCTCTCTTTCTCCTTCCCTTCCCCTCTCTCTAAAAATATATAAACTCTTTTAAAAATACATCACCTATATTGGCATGATAGTGTACATGTAGTTTTATATCTTGTTGACAATAAATGGAAAATGCAGTTTTTTATTAACATGGTAAGTTCAAAGTATCTATTGAACTTCACAGTGGTAAAGGGCAGGGTTGCTATTGTTTCAATTACACTTTGGTTTATAGTCTTTATTTAAGAGTGATTACATAGTTAAGAACTTTGGTAGTGTCCTGACTGGTATGGCTCAGTGGGTTGGGCATCATCCCACAAACCAAAGGGTTGCCAGTTTGATTCCTGGTCAGGGCACATGCCTGGGTTGCAGGCTGGGTGCCTGGTTGGGGCTATGTAAGAGGTGGCTGATCAGTGTTTCTCTCCCTCTCTTTCTCCCTTCCTTCTCCTCTCTCTAAAAACAAATAAATAAATCCTTTTTATTTAAAAAAAAAAAAAGAACTTTATAGTAAATTAAATATTTTTGCAGATTGGGTATTTTTGCATTCCATAAATATGTTTATTACATTTTTTAAATTTGCTGAAAACATTTTTTAAATTTGCCAAATATGTTTTTTAAATTTGCCAAAATCCAATGCCATGGGAAAAAAAAAGAAGTCTAGCTTTACCTCTTTACCAGCTATGTGCTCCCTCAGTGACAATGCTCGCCCTACAGCGTCATGGTGAGAATGAAGGAAGAGTTGTATCACCAGCAGCAGTCAACACTGAGAGAGCACTTGTTATGTGCTGGGCACTACTAAGCCTTTCATCGGTACTTACTGGCTTATGTAATTGTGTGTGTCCTACGTGTGAATTGTATATGCCTAACATAGGTGGAACAGAGTGCCTGGCACATGGTACATAATTCTACAATAATGCTATTTACTGCAGCCTTATCCCCCACCAGGCAGAAAGCATTTTTATTCCTAATATTAATTCTCTCAAAGCATCCTGCCTGGTGGAGGACAGAGCAGATAATTTGTGACTTAGCTCTGCTCCCTTCCCTTTTGTGGATACAGGCCAGCCACCCTGGCTGTGAGTGCTCAGGACCACTTGTAGGCATCCTGTCCACGCACCCCGCCTTGCGCCAGCAGCGCTGTGCAGACTGGCGTGGCCTGGGTGCGGGAGGTTCAGGTTCATTGATCTACCTCATTTCCTCCAGTGGCTGGAGAGAGAGCTGCAGACTGACAGTGCCCAAGTTGGGGGCCTGACTGGTGCATGGGGTGAAAATTCCTAGAAGGGGGTGTCCGTACTTTCCACAGCATGATGAATAGCAGTGGTTCTGTTTCTGAAAGCTGGGATGTGTGTAGGTAACACCTGCCTGACAAAGATTTACAACTGCTCCCCAAGCTGCCTCCATAGATTGCAAAACTGGGTCATGCTTTTTACAAGATCCATACCTTAGAGGGGGGGTAAAGGCGGTTTTATTTTTTATTTATTTTTTTTACAAGAATGCACCAAAGGGAACAGAGGCGGGTAGTGTCTGAGGAGTTCTGAAGTGCTTGTTAACATCTAGCTGGCCAGCTGCCCATGTGCCTAGAAGTTGGAGGGGATGAAAAACGATTTCCAGCTGAACTTGGCTGTTTTCTAAATAACTTCACACTGGGAAGATGAATTGGGCAAGAATGGGTCAGCCCGGAAACAAGTTCCATACTTTTAAATATTGGACACACTGCAGCTTAACCTCTGGGAAATGAACCAGAGCTGCTCGATGGCTGGTGTGCTCACAGAGGCAGGCCTATTATTACACATGGCTCTCAGTTCCAGGCTGGGGGACGACCGGGCCATCAGCACCTATTTGGAGAGCAAGGCTCCGTGTGTGGCTCATGATCCTTCTGTGGGAGCACTTGCTGTAATGGAAAATATCTTTCACTTTTAGTGCGGCAGGCTATAGCCCGACTCAATTTGTGCAGCCTGGACTGAGTTGCTGTGGGTACTCATTCAATTAGGTGACTGATGAAGTCACTGAGCCTGCTGGAGCCCAGGTTTCTCCTCGAGTGAAGGGCCTCCAGTGGGCTGGGCCTCTGTCACCTGCTAGGGAATCAGAGGGCTGCCTGAGAAATCGGTCATCCAGGAAGTTTTTGTAAAGCAGACTCTGCTTTGTCCTGTTACCTGAGAATCCTCTGCTGCTTTCCGGTACTTCCAAGTAGTAGCCTTTCAGCTTTTGCTCAGCCTTGCAACCCTTCTGTCTCCACATCACACATTCTGCAGGAGGAAAGAGGAATGGGAGGTTTCTGGGTCCATAGCTAAAACTCCATAGCCCTGTGAGTTGGTTATTTGCCCCCATCTTTGGTTAGAAGGTGGTTTTCTTGCAGGTGCCTTCTGGTCCTGGTCAGCAGCTTTTAATCAGCCCTTCATGGGCTCAGCCACTATCTGCAATGTCCTTCAGAAGTGCTGGCCAAAATGCAGGGGGAAAGGGGCCCTGTCTTAAAAACAGCACCCCATGGGCCCAAGCAGCCTTTGCTGTGCCTCTGGAAGGACTGTCCTGGATATGCGGAGCAGGAGAGAAGGGAATTGGACGAGCTTTGGGAGATATGTTCACTAACACTTGATCCTCTGAACATTAAGGAAGTCCCACTGAAGGCATCTTTTTCTTTTTTTAATCGACCACACAAGAAGAAATGGGGTAGAGCAGTCTCAGTCCCCCGAGATGTTCTTAAACAAGGCACTCGTTATATCTGCATTGCTGTTCCAACAGGGCTGTTCACAGAGCTCTTTGCTCTGCATCCTATTAGGTTAGGCCTCTTGTTCTTTGTAGCTCCTGCAGCGCTGAGCAGTAGGCTGGCCAGGACTCATTTAGCCCTTCTTATCCCTGCCAGACTTCTAAAGCTCCTGCTTCAAAAGAACTTATAGATTCAACTGTACTTTGGGTTTGTCTCTGGTTACGTCTGCCTCCTGCAGCTCGTTGGCTTTTTAATGTACCATAATTGGGAATTAATCTGTGAACAACAGCATTTGGAAAAAATTAATTATGCGTGGAATGTTTGATAATTATATGCATATCTTAACCATTTCTTTGCTCTTTGTCATTTCAGGCATTGCGCACCGTGATCTGAAGCCAGAAAATATATTGTGTGAGTCTTCAGAAAAGGTACTTAGGGCCTGATTTAGGATGTTACAGGTTTTATACTGATGCAGGGAAGCCACCTTGCTTTCCGTATAGGTGGTTAGCAGCCCTCTCGGCCTCTGGTACTAACTTGAACGATTATTATGGACATGTGAGAATGTTACACCTAATGTGTCGTGTTTCTATATTCCTAGCAGGGTTAATCCTTTTCCCTTCTCTGCTGTTTTCAGCAGTGCAATTGGCTTAAGCCTGAGAGTTTATAAAATATATGAATGTTTATTCACACAAAATTAATGTTTTCTAGTCTAATGCACCTACCTTTAGAGCAGTTGATGGGAGTCGTAAACAACTCAATCCTATATGAAGCAAATCTCTGCCTATAAAAGATGGATATGTCATGGTATATATGCTACTGGAAGTGAACATTGGGAAGGATTTCTGTTTCTATTTTTATTGCCCATTAAAAAGAAAATATTTGTACTTGAGGTTGAACAAATGTCATCTATTTTAAACTTGCCCTTAACTCAATCTACTGATAAATTGAAGTGTTTGCATTTCCATAAGCATGCATGAATTTGATAAATTCTCTGTTAGGAGGGATTTAGGCCCTGGTGGATTCGATGGCCCACACTCACAGTTCTGCGTTTGTATATGTGTGTGTGTATGCACAAACACATATGTCTTGGTCAGAATTAAAGGATATCTCTTAGATAAGGAATTGCTGTGAGCGAATATACCAGGCTGTGAGTCAACCTGGTACTTAACAACTTTTGTTTAATGTTTATTTATTGATTTGAGAGAGAGAAGAAGGGCTAGAGAGGGAGAGACAGAGCACGCAAGAGAAACATTGCCGAATCGCTCCACTCATTCATGCATTTGTTGCTTGAATTTTGTACGTGCCCTGACCAGAGCTCAGACCCACAACCTTGGCATCAGGAAAACAGTCTAATCAATGGAGCTTGCCAGCCAGGGTGGTACTTACAACTCTTGTGAGGGGTAGTAATGTATTAGTTCCAATGAGACATTCTGCCTTCCTGTCAGTGGCTCTGGCATTAAACTATATGATTTATCATTATTATCATTAGAATTATTAATATTTGTAGTTAACAGAGCGCTTCACCTCCCACCCCTTGAGAGTGGCGCCAGAGCTGCCATGGCTCTATGTAAGGCGCAGGCCAGGGCTGCCTGGGACTCAGCAGCTACTCAGAGCCCTCAGAGGGACAGAAGGCACTGCTGCCGTGAGTCACTGTGCTGCTTGGTGGGGCAGCCAACGCAAGGCAAGGATCACAGGAACAGGTGGAAGGATCACAATGCCAGAAACACAACTGCGTCATGTGCAGAGGGCAGCACAGGCAGACATGGCTCACCTCTTCGCACAACCACATCAAAATTACAACCAATGTATAGAACCACCATCACTTGAAACCCTCAGAAATTGAGTTGAATGGGAGTCTGACAACTACAGAATTAAAGAAACCACATCCATACACACTGGCAGAAGGGGCTGGTCCCTCACCCATGTGTGGTGGATAAAAATTTTGGGGGATATCTTGGGAGCAAGGAGTCCCAGCCCCATACAAGGCCCCCCAGCCCAGGGTCCCAGTGCCAGGATGATAAATTATGCCCCACAACTTCTGGCAGCAAAAAACAGCGGAGACTGAGTTGGTAGAAGAGACAGTTAGAGCCCTAAGCAGTTCCTGTTAAAGAACCCACACACAGACTCACCTACTCAGACTCACTCCCTCTGAGCTGCACCAGGGTAGTAGATTGAAAGACACCGGTGGTATACAGGGAGGAGCTGAAGTGCCTTGCATCAAGGTGAGCAGAGGCCATTGTCCCTTTTCTAAACACTTCCCCCACAGAGCTGGCAAGCTGGTGCCATATCTGAGACTGCATCAACCTGACTAACATTGTTTAACCTGCCTTGGAGATTCCCAGAAACTCCACCTCACCCAATTTACAGGCCTCCCAAGCTGCTTTACCATAGGAATGTCTGATCTTAGCTCAGGCTTTACAACTTCCTAAATCCTATCAAACAAGCAATAGCTGAGCCTCAGGTCCAGCACTAGCAGCATCCAACCCACATTCACAGCTTGACTTCTAGGAATCTCCAAGCCCAGCACAAGTAGTAGCCACCCCAGATTGCTGTATAGCTCAGGCAGGGTGGCCCCAGGCAAACTTGGGAGGGGGGTGGGTGCAGGGTTGACCTTGGCCTTCACCATCTGGGAAATTGCAGAGGCAGTGCACTCTGTGGACAGCTACAGATCACATTGGAGCACCACCACCCTGCCCTTACACAGCTGATCCTCCACAAAGGGCAGAGATTGGTGGTAAGTGCTCACAGCCAGTCATTGCCCCTGACTGGCCTGGGTGAATCCCTCCTATTGACGTGCCAACAGCAATTAAGCCTCAACCACGACAGAAGGGTATACTCAGCCCACATGAAGGGCACACCTCAAGCACCTAGCTTGGGTGATAAGGGAGGCTATGCCACTGGACTCTACAAGACACCTACTACATTAGGCCACACCACCAAGATATGGAGTCATAGCAACTCTACCTCATACATAGAACAAACACATGGAGGCTGCCAAAATGAGGAGACAAAAAAACATGGCTCAAATGAACAGATCAAAACTCCAGAGAAAGGGTTAAATGAGATGGAGATAAGCAATCTATCAGATGCAGAGTTCAAAACACTGGTTGCAAGGATGCTCAAGGAACTTAGGACCTCAAAAGCATAAAGAAGATCCAGTGAGAAACAAAGGCTATAAAAATTGAAATAAAGAGTGGATGAATCCAAGAATCAAATCAATGATATGGAACATAAAGAAGCAAAACACAAACAATCAAAACAACAAGAAGAAAAAAGAATCCAAAAAAAAAAGGATAGTATAAGCAGCCTCTGGGACAACTTAAAGAGGTCCAACATTTGCATCATAGGGGTACCAGAGGGAGAAGAGAAAGAGCAAGAAATTGGAAATCTATTTGAAAAAATAGTGAAATAAAACTTCTCTAATTTGGTGAAGGAAATAGGCATATAAGTCCAGGAAGCACAGAGAATCCCAAACAAGATGAATACAAAGAGGTCCACTCCAAGACACAGCATAATAGAAATGCCAAAGGTTAAAGATAAAGAGAGAATCTTAAAAATAGCAAGAAAAAAAGCAGTTAGTTGCCTACAGGGGAGTTCCCATAAGACTGTCAGCTGATTTCTCAAAAGAAACTTTACAGGCTAGAAGGGATCGGCAAGACATATTCCAAGTCATGAAAAGCAGGGGCCTACAGCCAAGATTGCTCTACCCAGCAAAGATATCATTTAGAATTGGAAGACAGATAAAGAGCTTCCCAGACAAGAAAAAAACTAAAGGATTTCATCATCACTAAACCACTATTATATGAAATGTTAAAGGACTTACTTACTTAAGAAAAGGAAAAAGATCAAAACTATGAACAATAAAATGGCAATAAATACATATCTGTTAACAATCTAATCTAAACTACAAACTAAGCAAACGAGAAAGAGCAAAGACAGAATCATGGATACAGAGAGCATTTTAATGGTTGTCAGATGGGCAGGGAGAGTGGAGGGAATGGGTGAAGAGGTGAGGGGACTAAGAAGTACAAATAGGTAGTCAAAGAATAGCCATGTGGATGTAAAGTACAGTATAGGAAATGGAGTAGCCAAAGAATTTATGTGCATGACCCATGGACATGAACAATGGTGTGGGGACTGCCTGAGAGAGAGGGGATGCTGAGTGGAGGACAGGCGAAGTTGGAAATAATAGGATAACTAACGGCATAATCAATAAAATGTAATAAATAAAAAGGGAAAAATAATTATAGTTAACATTTTTTGACTACTTACAGTGTACCAGCACTTACTTTATTTAGTTTTTATAAAATTTCATTACGTAGATACTACTATTATCTTCATTTTATGAATGAGGAAACTGAAACCTAGATAGATTAAGAAAGTTGCCTAAAGTCACTAAGTTGATAAGTAGTAGAAGGTAGATTAAAACTCAGGTAGCCTGACCCAGAACTCCATGAGTGCCCCTGTTATATTGCCTCTGGTTTACAATGTACTTTCATGCTCTTTGTTTCATTTGATCTTCATGGTACAGATTTGGTGGCCCTTTGTCATGGTTGAAAAAGTAAAATTAAGAGAGACTAGCATCAGAAGACAATATCAAGAAAATAAAAAGTTGGCCCTGGGTTGAGTGGCTCAGTGGGTTGAGTGCTGGCCTGTGAACCAAAGGGTCACTGGTTCCATTCCCAATCAAGGCATGTGCCTGGGTTGTGGACCAGGTCCCCAGCAAGGGGCGCATGAGAGGCAACCACACACTGATGTTTCTTTCCCTCTCTTTCTCCTTCCCTTCCCCTCTGTCTAAAAATAGAAAAAACTAAATCCTTAAAAAAAAGAGAGAGAGAAAGTGGGTAAAGGAGGATAAATAGTGTCAGAAGGAGACTTGACTTTGGGTGATGAACACACAATACAATATACAGACAATGTATTATAGAATTGTGCACAAAAAAAACATATAATTTTATTAATGAAGGTCACACCAATAAATTCAATTGAAATATTTAAAAGAAAGAAAATAAAAAGATAACCTACAGAATAAGAGGGAAATTGCAAATCATATATTCGATAAGGGTTTACTATTTAAAATACATAAAGAACTTCTAACATCAAGAAGACAATCCAATTAAAAAATGGACAAAAAACTTGAATACACATTTCTCCAAAGAAGATATACAGATGGCCAATAAGCCCATGAAAAGATTCAACACCCTTAGTCATTAGGGAAATATAATGAGATACCACCTCACACCTGCTAGGATGGTTATAATAAAAGAAATGGAAAATCACAAGTGCTGATGAGGATGTAGAGAAATTGGAACCCTCGTATATTGCTAGTGGGAATGTAAAATGGTGCAGCCACTGAGGAAAACAGTTTGGCAGTTCCTCAAAAAGATAAACATAAGATTAGCCTACTACTCAGCAATCCCTCACCTACATGTATACTGAAAATAATTGAAAACAGAGACTTGAACTTGAACACCAATGTTTATTGTAGCATTATTCACATTAACCAAGAGCTGGAAACAATCCAAATGTCCATCAACAGATTAATAGATAAACAAAGTGTGGGTAAGCATACAGTGGAATATTGATCAGCTATAAAACAGAATGAAGTTCTGATACATGCTACGATATGAATGAACCTTGACAACATTATGATAAGTAGAAGAAGCCAAACATAAAAGGACAAATATTGTGTAATTCCACTTATATGAAATATCTGGGATAGCCCTGGCTGGTGTGGCTCAGTGGATTGAGCATTGGCCTGATAACAGAAAGATCACTGGTTCAATTCCCAGTCAGGGCACATGCCTGGGTGGCGGTCCTGCTCAACCAGTTGATGTATCCCTTGTACATCGACATTTCTCTCCTTCTCTTTCTCCCTCCCTTCCCATCTTTCTAAAAGTAAATAAATGAAATATTTTTTTTAAAAAGCAGTATCCAGGATACAGAAATTTATGTCGAAGGAAAGTAGATTAGATGTTACTGGGGCTCAGGAGTGGGGGAAATGGAGAGTTAATGCAGAGTTTCTGTTTGGGATGATGGCAAAGTTTTGCAGATACTGGTAATGGTTACACATTGGTGTGAGTATAATTAATGCCACTGAATTATACACTTAAAAATAGTTTAATGGCATGTTTTATGTTCTCTATGTGTCTGTGTGTGTGTGTGTGTGTGTATTTTATCACAATAAAAAAAGAGAGGCTAGGTGGAAAAAGAAGAGAAGTAAAACTGTAAGAGAAAGGAAAGTCAGGGAGAGGAAAGGGGAGGGAGGGAAGAAGGAAGGAAAGAGGGAGCAGTTGAGACTTGTCCAGGCTCCCCCAGCAGGTAAATATCTGAGCTGAGACTCACAGAACCAGCATTTCTGACTCACTGCGCTGCTTCCGCCATGCAGGCCATTCTCATGCCTGCGCACAGGCTGCCTTCCTGGTTGGCTCCCGAGATGACTCATGCTGTCTGTGGTCTCAGGCGCAATATCCAGTTCTGGCGGGCTTGGCTGCTGTGTTGATGCACCCTGGAGTGGCCAGCCATCCCAGTTTGCTCTGCCCTGAGGAGTTTCCTGAAACACAGGACTTGCAGGGCTCAAAGCAACAAAGTCCCAAGCAAGCAAAGACAAGTTGGTCACCCTAATTCCTTTGCCCTCCATCAGTTGGTCTGCAAGGAGTGTCCCAGGAATATGTACTAACTTCTGGATTGCACCCTATACCTTTGTTGGCAAAAGTTCCACAGGTTTGCTATACATTTTACGCTGAACTCGCAGTAGTCTGAACCATGAGTGCACCTATTTTCTCTTAGTCACGAAGTAAGGAGAGAGCACATGGAAGAGAGCAGCTTAGGATAAATCCACAGGTGCTTTCTAATTAACCCGAGGAGAGTAAACAGGTAAAGCTGGGCTTCAGTGTAGCCGCCACATAAGTGTGCACCCACATCGTCACCTCAGGCTCTTCATGCCCTTTGGTTTCTTATATTTGTAACCTTTGCTCTCTGCTTTCCTTTTCAGGTGTCTCCAGTGAAAATCTGTGACTTTGACTTGGGCAGTGGAGTGAAACTGAATAACTCCTGCACCCCCATAACTACACCAGAGCTGACCACGCCAGTATGTATAGCTGGACACCCTGTGCCACCTTCTTCTGAGCTTCCATACATTTGGAGTGCCCCACACCCAGAGCTCTGGAGTCCAGAACAGAGGGCCAAGGAAGGAAAAGCAAGCGTACCCACCCCCCTGCCTGACTTGTCATTCAGCTCACTGCTTTGGGCTGATAATGTCCTCCCTGCCCCAGTGCTTAGTTGCTAATGAAACTGACATTAGAGCTTTTAGCTTGGAGTGGGTCCTCTGCCATGATGAGACATACCATATCTCTAAGAACAGGCTGAGCCCTGTTCTTGGGGTTCCGATCAGCCCTGATCCTGACCCAGGTAAAGACAGACACCATTCCTGGGCCAGCCCTTTGGCATAGCAGCATGTGATGGCTCTGGCAGTCTTATTCCCACTGCAAGGTTGTGGAGCATCACCTTATGATGGGGGATGGGGAGTGTGGGCTCTCTGTGGCGAGAACTGAGGTACCGGGCTCTCTGTGCATAGGCTCGCTTGGCTCAGTTGTCCTGTTGCTTCTCTCCCTTCATACTTTGTGCCCAGATGGTGCTGCTGGGGGCCTTTTCTCCCTAAGACCTGTCTGTATGCACTCAATATACTGTAATTATGATTCTTTTGAGATTTGCTTGCTTTATTAGTGAATTTTTCTAATAACCTTTTTTAAGACATGCATTTGACTATGTCCATGTCTTATCCCAACCAACATTATTAGAAATGTTTGTGTAATAGCTTTTACGACACTGAGCTACCTTGTTCTCAAAGTCATTAACTCTAATTGCCAATAACAGAAAATGTCCTATCTCCATTTGCCATCTTTTCATCAAATTAGTTGTGTGTTGGAGGTGAAGGATGTCTCTTGGGGAACCTGCAATAGTGAAGAAGCGAGCAAAAAGAATTTTTTAATTTTTACCAGCCGTTTTCTATGCAAGGATGCAGGAAGGAATCCTGGGTCCTGGGCTTACACTACTGAGGTGCTTGAACAAATCCCCATCCCATTCTAGTGCTTGGTTTTCCCATCTGTAACTGGGAGAGGTGGGGAGACTAGATTTGTTCTAAGAGTTTTAGCTTTGATGGTCTTTTAATTCTAAATCCTTATACTTTCTTGCTCTAAGCTAGAAGGGAAGCTGAGCAGGACTTGACTTTAAAAAATCCTTGCTTTATGGAATCAGTCTCTACAGCTCTCCCTCCCAGAACCGTGTTTCCGATGCACTGAAGTAGCTGTACACTAAGTGACCGTATACAGAGAGCTGAGGCAGGGAGAGATTCCTGGAGCTTCTTGACCAAGGGCCTCTACCCACTAGAGAAGGACCTGAAAAGATAAGAAGGTGACCTGGAACTAGTGGAACTAGTCACATGGATCACGGGGAACGACAGCACTCAGTTTCCAGAAGTCCAGTTGGCCCGGCTTTTCTAAGTGCCTTGGTGGCATCAGGCGAGTTCCCTGGCTGGCTTTCCTGACAGCTTCTTGCTCTGCAACTCAATCCTCTTGCTCAAGTCCCATTGCATTCTGCTTTTTGCCATCCCCTCTTCCTGTGAGTAAGCCTCTTTGTTCTCTGCCATTTCCCCCTCGCCAACCTGGCCCCACAGTGCGGCTCTGCAGAATACATGGCCCCGGAGGTGGTGGAGGTCTTCACAGATGAGGCCACGTTTTATGACAAGCGCTGTGACCTGTGGAGCCTGGGAGTGGTCCTCTACATCATGCTGAGTGGCTACCCGCCCTTTGTAGGTCACTGTGGGGCCGACTGTGGCTGGGACCAGGGAGAGGTCTGCAGGGTGTGCCAGGTGAGTACAGTCCCCAGACCCGCTGCCGAGGGCCGGCTGGAGGTCAGCACGGTTGTGGACTGCCAAGCAGAGCTGGGTGTGGGGATCATTCCTGGTGTAGAAGAGATACATAGTCCCCCTTCCCTCTTGTGTCCAAGGGTAGTCACCAGGTGAAATAGAGGTACTTAGGCACTTAGCCCAGCTTGGCATTCAGGGAAGATTGTTAGAGAAGATCGTACCTGAGCTAAGTCTGAAAGGATGCATCTTGCCTTCTGGGAGAGGGGCAAGAAATACAAGGAGAAGAACAGCATAAGCAAAGAACGAAAGTTTGCAACAGCTAAATGTGGAGAGGGAAGAAGAGTAGAGTACAAGGCTGATGGTGGTGGGAGATGAGACCTGACAGGTTGCCAGCAGTCCATTCCTGGAGTGCCTTGTATGAAGAGCCAAGGAATCCCAGCTTCGTTCTCTGATATTTCCCACGCATCAACACCCAGCCTGCCAAGTAGCAGAGCCATCCTGCCTGCCAGGGCATTCTGTGTCATTTGATGATTTAGGGGAGAATATGGTGGGTGTGTGGTGTACCCAAGCCATGAACTGAAGCCAGGGTGACTAGATCAATGACAGGCACATCCTGCCCACCTGTGGCCAGTGTCACCACAAGGAGAACGTTCTTTGCCTAGAACAAGCTGTTTGAGAGCATCCAGGAAGGCAAGTACGAGTTTCCTGACAAGGACTGGGCACACATCTCCAGTGAGGCCAAAGACCTCATCTCTAAGCTCCTGGTTCGAGATGCAAAGCAAAGACTGAGCGCCGCCCAAGTTCTGCAGCACCCATGGGTGCAGGGGGTGAGTAACCCAGGGAAGAGTGGCATTGCAACTCCTCAGGCCTGCAGCATGGCCACGGGAAAGCTCTCATACCCAGGCGGCTGACCTCAGCTGGAGGGAGATTGTATAGCATTTTCAGTTCCTGTGCACACAGAGGGAACTGACTCCTACCCCAGCCCCAGCCCAAGTCCCATACTGGTCATAGACTTGGCCCTAAGTCTGGTCACAGACTAAGACCGTAGCTGACTCATGCTTCTTGGGGAATTCAGCTCAGGCATCCCACTATTGGCAGAGCCATGCAGCCCGGAAGCAGCCTGGTGTCATCACTGGGGTCTGTAGTACCACCCTTGTACAAAAAGATCATTCTCTGAGAGCACGCAGAAGCATGCCTTGCTGCCCTGCTTGCTGGATGGCTGCATGAGGGGCACATGCGTTCTCCTTGTGGTCCTGGGGTCTGCGTGCAGCCTGACTGAAAGGCAAATGGTGGCATTTCCCCCAAACTAAGGATCTAAGTCTTCACTAGAAAACATTTTAACCATCCTCCATCATTAGTCATGGGACCTGACTTCTGTCCCTCCAAGGGGTCTGCCAGGCCTCCCAGGAGTCACTGTGTCCCCTTCGTCTGCCAGGCCTGAGCCAGCCTCGGGGCCCCAATGGCCCCAGGCTACAGATGAGAGTGCAGCCCAGTGTCTCTGAATAGCTAATCCCCAGCCACGCGGGAGTTGCTGTCTTTGCTGAGTGCCCACCATGTCAGACACCGGTCACAGTGGGATGGGTGAGACCCAGCCCCACTATTGTGTTCTGATGAGGAGAGGGAAGCAAGGGAGCACGTGACAGGATAGCCTGGCAGATGCTCTGGGCACCAGCAGACGGCCACCCACCCACCTCTCCTCTGGACAGGCAGGTGTTGGGGAGGTGGCGGGGAATGGGAATATCTCACAGGGGAAGGCCCTAGAGCTGGGTCTTAGGGGCTGATTAAGACTTTGCCAGGCAAAGAGAGGGCTCTCCTCACAGAGGCAGCTGGGTTGAGGGTTGTTCCTCGCTTGTTCTCTACTTGGAAGATTTGACCCTGCAGGCAAGCCTGGCCAGAGTCCTGTGCTGAGCCAGAGTCAGTAGTAACCTACCCAGTCTGTGCTGGTGTGGGTGGGGGCAGCTCTTGGAGAGGGCAGCTTACCCACACATCTATCCTTCCCATTCTAGCAGGCTCCAGAAAGGGGACTCCCCACGCCGCAAGTCCTCCAGAGGTAAAGCTCCCACCACACCCAATACCCTTCCTTCCTTGGCTTTGACTTTCAAGCTCTCAGCCATGTTGGGATGAAGGTGAGGGATGGGGAGCTCAGGCATCCTCCGGAAGTGGCTCCCTGGCCTGCCTTCTCCTGACTTCTCTTCCTCTCATTACCCACTGCAGTAAATGTCTCCTTCTCCTCCTCTTCCCCAGCCCTCTAGCACCTTCAAGGCCTCTCCCAGGACTGTGTGCAGGAGAGAAACCTGCTTTGCATAAACACTTGAATCCTAACTGGAAATCACCATTCACAGCCCCCAAACAGACCTTATTTGTGGATTATTACACTAAGCTTTCTCTCTGCTGCCATGGTTTGGTGAAAGCAGCAGGAATCTGGGGCCCTGTAAGGCAGTGGTATCAAATGTGGTGTATATACTACTAGACAAGTAATATTAATAATGGTCACCATATAGTAAATATTTACCACATGCCAGATATGGTACATGCCAAAGATTATATCCATAACAGTCCCCATGATAAATTTCAAAGAGAGGTGTTCCTATTATCTCATTTTATAGTTTAGAAAACTAAGACACAGAAAGATGAAGTTAACTTACTCAGGGCTACACAGTAGCCTTGCAAGTTTGCCAGTGAACCTGGATCTGTTTGACTTAAGTTCCTTTCAACACTTACATTCCTAGTGAGCACTGCCCTCTTCCCAAAGGGCCATCGCTAAAGCATTGTGGGATCCCCTCCAGGAACCAACCTCATGGCCAGTTTCCAGGAACTACACAGGGAAGTCTTACACCTCTATCATCTCAATTCATCTGAGCCAGAATGCTGCTGCCCACCCTGGGTTCCTACCTGCTTCTCTAGACCTACATCCAGATGCTTTGAGCCTCCAAATCTCAGATCCACCTGAGCAGATTTATTCAGCAAACCCAGAGTGCCTGTTATGTGCCGGCACTGAGCTGGCTTTTGTGGACACAGACACAAAGGCACAGTCCCTGCTCCTGGAGCTCCCTGCCCTGATGGGGTAGAGGGATACATACACGCGCAGGTTTCATGTGCCAAGGCCCTTTCTCTGATACAGCTCTGTACAGAGGAGGGTGCCCTGAGTGAAAGGGGCATTTGTTCCCTTTAAGTCCAAGGACAGTGATTGAGAGTCAAAGCCATTCTGGCCTCAGTGAAATCAGATCGCAAACCCATGCAAGAACGACTTCAGAGAGAGCAGCCTGTGCCGACTTGGCAAACTAGGACGGGGGAGGTAGTGATGGGGGTGGTGGAATGGCAGCAGCTGGTGGGGGTGTCGAGGAGCTGCTTAGCTTGGCTGCGGCCACTGAGTCCTGTCTCCCTCTTTTCTCTGCTTTTCCTTCCATCTCTGCAGAAATAGCAGCACAGTGGACCTTACACTCTTCGCGGCAGAGGCCATTGCTCTTAACCGCCAGCTGTCTCAGCACGAGGAGAATGAACTGGCAGAAGAGTCAAAGGCACTGGCCGAGGGACTGTGCTCCATGAAGCTTTCCCCTCCCTCCAAGTCCCGCTTGGCCCGTCGGCGGGCCCTGGCGCAGGCAGGCCGCAGTGGAGATGAGGGATCATGCCCGACACCCACAACTCTCTGACCGACTCCAGCCACACCTTTCAGGCCCTAGGCCTGTCCAGGTATCGGCCCCAGAAACCTGTGAGGCCAAAGTCTTTAGAGAAGGCAAAGGTTCCTGCTGTGTGGCCGCAGCAGGGCTTTTTAATCCACCGGGACCTGAGGTTCCCACCCAACCCCCATACCCCCAGAGACCTCAAGGAAAAAGCTTTTTCCAAAGGGGTTGTCTTTGAAAAGGAAAGCAATCACTTGTCACTTTGCATAATCGCCTGAGGCAGGGACAGCTCTGCTGGGCTCTTGCCCACCTGCTCACCGCCTGCAGATCCTGGATCCAGCCTGCTCTGGTGAATGAATGGCTGCAGCCTTCAGGGAGTCAGCCTTGAGAAGCTGGCGGAGGCTCTTCCCTCCCTGCACTGTCACCCCCCCCCTCAGTCGGTCCTACCTTCCTCTGTCCTCTGGATGTCCTCCCCCAGGGCTAAGCAAAGCCATCCCCTCAATTCGGGGAAGGGCAGAGAGACTTTGCATCCAGAAGCCAGACCAGTCTTCCAGTCTGGAGCACAGAGAAGCACATAATCTTTCTTTGCCGTGACCGAAATGTGTCCCTCATTTATCATCCTCTTCCTTGTTTGGTTGGGATTGCTTTTAAAGTCAGTATTATTTCGTTTTTTAAAGTGTTTGGTTTTTTTAACCGTGCTCTTCCACCAAAGATGGGAGTTTGAATTCCCACTGCAAGCCCATGGACTTGCCGAGCGTGCAAAGGCTCGCTCTCCTTTTGCTGAATGTCCATGCTTTGGGAAGGCTCTAATCAGAAGTTTCCTATTATCCTAACTGGTTTTAAACTATTATGAGATAATGAGCGCCTTAGAGACCGAGTCTCAGCCTCGTGAGGAGGGCAGCACAGGTCTGGGGCAGTTACAAGGAGCTCTGTGCCTGAGGTAGAGCCAGGTCCAAGGCAGCCCAGCTGCTCTGCTCTGAGCGACCTCGAGCTTGCCACCTGCCAGAGAGCATGAGGGCAAGCCTGGGATCAGATAAGCTGAGCTGCTGAGTTACCTGAAGAAAATCAACATGGATATGTCAGACCTTTATGCAACACAATGATGCTATTATATGTTGAGCTTGTTTTAATAAAAGTTTTAAATTTTCACTGTGGCCTTCCTGGTAGTCCTTTCTTTGTCTGCAGACCTGAAGAGGGGACAGGCCTTCTAGAGAGGGGCCGATCCCTGCAGGTGCCCTTGTCAGGACCTCCACACATGGCGCCTCCTTGGATTCACAGTACAAGGTGAAGGAGAGTGACTGCTTTTTCAGGTGAGGAAATGAAATTCATCAAACATTTGTTAATCTGCTAGTCTGTGCCGAGACCCAGAGATGAGTAAGAAACAGCTTCTGCCCTTTGGGATCTCCCCATCCAGTGGAAGAGGTGGCGTCAGCAACCATCACACAGGCTGGCTTCCAGGCCTGCTTCAACAGATGTGCCCTGCACAAAGCCCAGCCCACCACCCAAGTGGGAGCAAAGTTCCTCTTTGGCTAAAGCAGCTCGAAGCCCTTAAGGTTCCATCTTGTCCCCGGGGCTGTGTTTGCCCTTCCAGAGTTGGCTACAAAGAAAAATGGTGCCTCACATCCATGAAATTGTCCCATGAAGTCCTCAGAACCAGGCTGGGAAGGGCTAAGGCAGGAAGGGCCCTTATCAGTTCCCAAGGAGGTGGCAAAAGGGAGGTCTGAGCGTCAGGGCAGTGGACTGGGTGCCTTTCACCCTGGGGATCTGGAATTAGGGGGTCTTCACTCTGGGGGCAGATAACCAGCTGCCAGCTGCCCTGTACTGTGAGTGCCTCCATGTTGGTGATGACATACTTTCTGTGGCAGGCCTCCCTTCGCAGGAACCCTTACCACCCCCACATCCTGTCTTCATCCGCCCAGAGTGAGATGGACTAGAAAATCAGGCCTGGCCCTGGCCAGCATAGCTCAGGGAATTGGGTATCATCCTGAAAAGCAAAAGGTCGCCAGTTCCATTCCCAGTCAGGGCACATGCCTGGGTTTTGTGTGTGTAAGAGGCAACTGATCTATGTTTCTCTCCCTCTCATTCTTCCTTCCCCATCTCTAAAAATAAATAAAATCTAGAAAGAAGGAAGGAAAGAGGGAGGGAGGGAGGGAGGGAGGGAGGGAGGAAGGAAGGAAGGAAGGAAGGAAGGAAGGAAGGAAGGAAGGAAGGAAGGAAGGAAGGAAGGAAGGAAGGAAGGAAGGAAGGAAGGGGAAATCAGACCTGTAGAATCTGAGCCTTTTGGCCCAAAGTTTCCCGGTCCCTATGGACTCAGAACCAAGGTATGAGTTTTGTCTCCAGACTCCAGCCCCAACCTGTTCAGTTCTTCAGGTTGGCCCAGCAGGGATGTGACTTTCAGAGGCTTCCTGGACCAAGCACTCTCCCTCCCACCCCCACCCTGCCCTGCATGAAGCTCTAGCTGCTCTCTCCTGCCTCTGAGCCCTCTACATCCTACCTCCTCTCCCTAGTCCCCCTAGCAAGGCCCTCTCATCCTCTACTCCCCTGCTTACATGCTGCTGTGGCCACTCTGGTTTTGCTAGCATTAGTGTGCACTTACTAAGTAACACTTCTTTCTGAGAAGCTTACAGGCAACATCTCACTGAATTCTCACAGCAGTCCTACGCAGTAAGGTACTATTATTTTACCCTGCTTAACATGAGAAACCAAGCAGAAAAGGGAAAAAAATAGCTTGCTCCAGGGTTCTACAGTCAGGAAGGTGGGACTGGAATTCTTTCCAGAGAGGCTTGGGGCCCAGAACTGTGCTGCCCGGGTTTATATCCCCGCTCTGCCATTTACTGGCTCTGGGCCTTGGGCAAGTTACTTATTCTCTGGAGGGGTTGCGGTTTCTTTAACTAAAAATTGGGTAGGCTGTTGTGAAAGTTATAAATTACTAAATGTAAAGTGTTTAGAGCAGTTCCAGGCACACACGGTAAGTACTCAATAATTGTTGGCTATGATAGTTTTAGTTATTTTTATTATTATCTCCTGGGGCAGAATTACTCACCTGAGTCCCAGTAATGGAGATGAACTTTCCCCCTGCCCTTGGCTCGTGTGTGTGGAGATACGTCTGGGCTTTCCAGATGGGCCTGGCCTCTGGCCCTTCGTGGGATCCTCCTGCTGACAGGCAGCTCTGTCCCTCTGGGGTGGGGTCCCTGTTCACAAGGGGCAGATGTAGGGGCCAGGGGCCCTGAATTCTAGTTTTTCCTCTGCCACTGTTCACTAGGCAACCTTGGGAAGTGTCTTGCCCTTTGAGGACAGGCTGTGTGCATAACCCTGCCAGGCAGAGGCAGATGTGGCAGACACTCTACAAGAGGCTCTGAGACCTGGAACTGTGCAGCCACTTTCCAGGATCTAGGGCTCACACTTGGGTTGGACTGCAGGAGAGAGCTGACCCCAGACAGTGGAGTGTCAGACCTCAGGCCTCAGCCCCATCCTGGTTTAAGCAGAACCAAGGGACTCCTTCCTGTATGAGCCCCACCTTGGGACTTGGCACAGGAATCAAGTCTTGTCCCGCTGGGTATCCACCTGTCTGAGCTTGGGGCCCCTCCTCCTTCCTGGCTGACTGCCCTTCACCACACTTAGCTCCATAAACAGCAGTGCCTGGGTCCCATGCCAACTGCTCCAGCTACTTAGGTCTAGAGGGGATAGAGGAGCAAGGTTCCCCCATGGCTGATACTCTCGTTGCCATGGCAGCAGTTGCCTTGGAAGCTGCTTCCCAACTTCAGCTTCCAAACAGCCCAGGAAAGCTGCCATCCCCCAGGGGATCGGTGAATTAATCATGCTCTTTCCCAGGGTCCTCACCCCCCCAAGGAAAATAAATGGAACTAAACCAAACTGAGTCCTCTCGCCCACTCTTCCTCCCCACCCACAAGCTACTTTTGGATCTGGGAAGGAAAGCTCAGAGGCAGGTGCCCCCCAGTCCTGGCCTTACCAGGAGATGAAGAGAGAGATTGTGTGATGAAGTCAGTGGTGACCCATGGCCTAGTAACACCCTGAATCTGGGTCTTGGAGGCCTCAGGCTTCAGGGAGGAGGGCTCTGGTGCTTGTGGTGTGGGGAACGGTGAGAGGCCCGACTCTAGGGCCTTGAGCTTCCATCTCATTTATCTGTTGTAGCAAGCACATCACCACCCTCTTTCAGAGAAGACGCAGCCTTCATGGAGACAAGAACTGGCAGGCTTTCCTCTCTACACACTTAGTCGGTGGAGGAGATGGCATCACAACGTTCCAAGTAGCCTTTAGAGACCCTCTCCTGTGATGAGGGAAAAGACAAAGGCCTGGACTGATTCTTTTGAACACAGTGTCTCCTCTTATGGTGAGGCTGCCAATTCCTCTGTCTCAAATGAGCTAAGTATGAAATTCAGGGGTAGAGACATGCTGGAGCACTCCCCAGCTGAGCAGGGACCCTGGGGCAGCCCTGCCACTCCCACAGCTCAGTTTCCTCACCTGTTCTGGGAAGGAGCTGGCATGGTGCTGGGGTTCTGTGATCTTGTAACCAATACTGTGCCCTGAGGGATTTACAATGTCCAAGAAAAACTCTAATTTGGAATTCGGTTTCCAGGTTTTAGAGGTCAGAGTGTTCTTCTGGAATCTGAAGCTCACAATGCACAAGCCTCCCTGAGTCCAGGCCCCTGCAGCCTCTGCTGTCCCCATCCCCATTCCCAAGTGCAGCAAAGTGAGACGTAGGGTGGCCCGAGTCCCACAGCAAGAGGTGAGAGACGCGGCAGGCTCACGAGAGCCTCTGCCTTGCTGATGGTGTGGGACCGCCACCCTCAGCCCTACGCCGTGGAGGAGCTGGCACAGGCCTTGCCCACCCGGGTTCTGCAGCCGCACTGTGGGAACGGAGCCTCTGCGGAGGGTGTTCAGATTCCCAAAGCTCAACATCTCAGGAACGTGTTTCCATGGGCAATTATTCTGACTGCTCTTTTTAAAACTAGTCAGTGAGGGATCAATTACGTGTAACAGAGACATGGTCTGTCCATTTGATGCCTAATTAGAGGAATAATCAGACCTCATCCTCTCGAGAGGCAAGGAGGATGTTGGCAGCAGTGGCTGTGGCTGGGGAATGTCCACCTCCCAGGGCTTTCTCCTATGAGCCAGGATCACGGCCCAGGGAGCCCACCGGTGCTCTGCAGGCACCCCTCCTCTCCACACACCTCTGAGTTCATCCTTGTGCCTGCTCAGGCCTGTCTCCGGCACCTGGGCAGTGCCTTTCCTCAGCTGAAGCTCACTCAGGTGACCCTGGCCCTCCTAGGCCCCCACCCGCACCAAGGAAACTGCCTATTACAGACAGAGGTCTCATGGGGCCTTCGGCCCTCCTCTCTGCCCATCTGAAGTGGTTGTGTGGGTCCAGGGCCTCCCTGACCTCTGCCTGGTGTCCAGAAGCCTAATCCGGGTCCCCTCCAGGCATGGCATTCTATGGAGCTCACAGTCTCCACGGGGGACACAGAGAGAGTGAAGACTGGTGGTGGGCACTTTGGGACATGGCAGCAGTGACAGGCGGCCCACCCACCCAGCACCATCAGAACTGACTTCACAGTGATGGTGCTGGCTGAGCAGGGTCCTGCAGGATGAGGCGGTATGCCCCAGACTGTAGGGCTCAGGCAGAAACTCAGCAGGAGGGCAGCAGAGTAGAAGGGGAAGGGGAAGGCAGGGGCAGCCTCAGAGGCAAAGACCTTGGGCCCAGCTGGGCCGGATAGCAGATGTGGGGAGAAATGGGGGACCCAAAGAAAAGATAGAGGGGCCAGTGGTGGGAGCCTGGGGACTATGCCCAGGTGTCTGGGTTCAGGGCTAAGGCCAGGGCCATCCTCTGGGACCAGGGAGGCCCTGATCCACATAGGGCCAGAGAATTAAATTAGTGATGAGGGCTAGAACTGGGGGCTGCAACAGAGCTGGGCCGGCTGGGCTGGGTGAGCACCGCCCAGCCTCAAGTTGATGGATCCTGCAAGTAGGTCAGACAGGCTGGGCAGAGAAGCTCAGGCCAGAGTTTGAGGGGCACCCGCCATGTTCCAGTCTCCCTGTCCAGGCCACAGACACCCAGCCCCCACCCAGTCTGATTCCAGTTACGATTCCTCTCCCAGCCCTAACTCATAAGAGATTCCTCCTCCCCTGTA